AATCGTAGATGTTACGTAGAGGTATCATTTTCGAAAAGCTCGGTCACGTTCGAAGCGAGCCGCCTAAAATTGCATCGGTGACGCGTGGAGGAAGCGTTATTCGACCCTTATTCACCCTCGAGCAACGATACGAATACTTGCATCGCGGGGGAGAGGGGGGGAGGGGGACCATAATTAATGATAGCCGTGCAATTGAAACAAAGCTGCGCCGAGACACGCAGCTCCACGGGATACGAAAAGCGGGGGAAAATCGGCCGTCGAGGCCTTTCATTAAACTCGAACCTGCCAACTTCCATGCGCGAGAGCGCGCTTATAAAAACGTAAAAACAATCGTTTTTGCGTGACGGTGAAATATTTGTATCGTAAATTTTACCATGGAAACGAAGAAAGGAGAGAGGGTCGGCATCCCGGGACGACGTGTACACGATCGTATTCATAATCTTTGGGAGATCTTCGGTGAAAAGAGAATTTCGATTTTTACCGTGGAAAACGCGAGAATGGAAAAAGTTAGCCTACTCGTTGAAATTATCCAACGAAACACATCGGATATTTTTCAACGATTTTTCAGAATAACGATCGAATTCTCGACGCGGTTATATACGTGATCAAAAATAAAAGGAAACGAGGTATCAAAATTTTGTAAAAATATTCGTTTCCAACCTGTAAGAAGAACGTCAGCCTCCATTTTTCCCTTATTATCCTCCTCGAGATCGTCCATTTTCCTCGTACCATTCATTCGGCGTTGCAAGTGATTCCCTTAATTGATCGATTTAAAGCGCGCCGCGATTTAATAAGCGACGTATTTAACGTGAGACGAGAGAAAGAGAAATCTTATCGGTGCCCGTCGACGTGGCTTCAAGATTTCCAGGCTTCCCGATTGCCAATTAAAGATGCGCCCGCGGGATCGAGGTTGTAACCGTGGCGTCGTCGTCACCAAACCTCGTCTCGGCAAGCCTTCTTCTCCGTGTATGCGTCGCCATAAAACTTTCACTACCCTCTCTCGATGCCGGAGGAGACCCTCGGGACCGGTTGTTGCATGCACCGATTCGCGCGTGATTTCGAGGAGATGGCGAACCGAGAAAGAGGGAAAGGATCGAGCTTTGAAGCAAAGTCGTAATCGCTTCTTCTTCCTCTTTCGTACTTCCTAGCTTCTTGTTACTTTGAGTGACGCAACTGGATTTAGATTTTTCATTATTTATTTCGCGAGGTTTCACGAGTTTATACGCATTACGACAAATTTGGAATATTTTTATGAAATTTTACGAATTTTAAAGAAGAAGACACTCGTGATTTTGAATAGTTCTCGTTATTACTCGAAACCGTACTTTTCTTCGTTGCGTGCAGTTTTATCCGGAAAAATCGGTCCGAATTCTTTCCCTTATAAAGCAAACGCTTAACATACTTGACCATTTTCTCCGATAGATAATCTCGAAGAATTTCAATATCAAAGTTACTATCGGGTCGAACTGCGCCCCAAATGTTACTAGGATCCATTAAAATTTCGATCGCGTCGCTCCCAACTTTATCGAAGTTTGTTCTACGAATTACGAAAAAGATGGCGTTATTTCGAATCGATTTAGAAGAAGAAAGTGGATCGATGACGCGTTCTATAATTTTCTAGGAATTTTTCATCATCGTAGAGACGTATTGAGAAATCGTATTTTTAAGACGATTCGAAAGACTCGATCGATTCCGCGTGGCGAAGTTTGATCTCGAAGTTCTCCTTCCCTATCGGCATGCGAGCTACCCAGAACTCGAATTACAATCCTCCGCGTGTTTAAAGATCCGTAAATTTTCCGAAACCGAGTGCGCCGAGATTTAAAACGAGATCGATATAACGAAAGAAAGAAATAGCGGAAATATCAGAAGCACGAATAGGAAGTGGAAGGAAGATCGCCTTCCAAACATATTTCCAAGCGGAGTAAACTCGGAGTAGTTTAGTAGAAATTTCCCCTTATTAATCACCTCCAACTCTATCCTCTATACAATTACAAAACACGGGCAAAGTTTCGATCCACCTTGCATTCACCCGCATTCCACTTCCACCCCCGACTACTTGGAAAGGGTGAGGCTTGCTTCTTGGCTCGGGTCTCGCGATAAAATAAATCCACGATGGGCTTTGGTTGAAGGGAACCGGAAACGGAATCGCGGCTGCTCCTCGTTTAAATATCGTCTTAATCTCGCGCCCTCTTAATACCGGTCCGGCCTTGACAAATCGCCCACCCGCGGATTATCCGTCGACGAAAAACTAATTAAGCGACGGAAAGGGTTGCCACGATATTCGGTCGAGGTATTCGCGTCGCGCAACTTTGCCCGCGATGCAAACGAAAGGGGATGGCGCAGCGTAGATACGCGGATATGGAAAGGTCGAAGACCGACGAGGGTCTTCTCGCTTCCTTCCTCTCCTTCGAGTCTGGCAATACGCGAGAGAGAGAGAGAGAGAGAAGGTGGCAAAAAGCGGAATCGTCCCGCTTCTATCCGCCGCCTATCTAAATAGTTGGTCGACTCCATAAATTTGCCCGCTTAACGCCGTCCTTCCATTCGAGCCACGCCATTCGAGGTATCGAAGACAGGTAGCGAACGACGATTTTATATCTCGAGACGCGTTCAGCGTCTCTTTCCAACGTTTTCCTTTTTATTTATTTATTTTTTTTTCCATTATCGATTTCGGTATTATTATCGGATATTTTAAAAATACACTTTTGTCGTGGTTTTATTTCGCGGCGTGGATTTTTCGACGCGCCGATCTAGCGCTTTTAAATTTTCCATCCTCTAATATCTATCCGTTGTTGCGGGATAAATCAAAAATAAATTCCCGTTGTTATTGCCCGTAATCGAGTATATATATATATATATATATTATTTTTTTTTACCGTCCTTTTCTATCGCTTCTAAATTTTTTCCTTTTTCATCGCAAACTAGCTTGCAGCGTTATAGCGTCGAATAAAAATTGAATCGTTGCTGCGTCGCGTTTTTTTTTTATCGCGATTTTACTTTGAAATAGATTTTTCGCTCTCTCTCTCTCTCTCTTTCTATTTCAATATCAAATCGTATCGATCGACGGTGTTATCGTTTCGTTGTTTATTACGGGCGATAAGTGGCGTAAGAACGCGTAAGACAATTCGGCTTTCGTTATTGTTGAAACTTTTATCCGGCGAAGAGAGGAAACTTGGCTCGCTAATTGTCCAATTTGCTTGCCTCGAACGGAGAAGCTGCTAACAACTTGTTTGAACCCTATAATTCGTCCAAGTAATAAGATAACGAGATTTGGAGAGGTACAAAGAAATTGCAGATCTATCGAGCGTTCGACTTTATACTCGAAAGAAGAAGGAAAGAGGGGGAATGGAAGTTGATTCTCCCTGCTCCGCGACACTCCTAATAGGAGTGTCACGTACAGGCCGAGCTTATAATCCGTTGGCGCTAATTTCGCAAAATACTTCGCGAGCTTACCAATTTCCCATTTTTCTCTTTCTCCAAACTCGAAGTGTTTTTTCGTCTCGTCGAAGAAAGTTAAATAGAATTTATCCATCTTTTTTTCTTCTCTTGCGCCGATATAAAAGAATAGGGATTGGAAAAGATGGAGCGTGGTAAATATTTCCCCCCCTCGAAATAAACTTATTATCCCCCCCCTGTTTCGAATTAATAAACACGTAGCAACGAGAGAACGTTGGATTTCGTGATTTAGGAGAAGGCGGGCGTTAAAGTTGGGCGGGTGGAAAGGAAGTTGGGTAAGTGGGACAAGGTGGCGGAGTCATGGTTGGGCCTCTCTCTCTCTCTCTCTCTCTCTCTCCTCCTCCTCGTAATCTCGAAAGTTTCGATCGCGTCTGGAAGAGGTCTGGTTAATGAAACACGAAATAATTAGAGCAGCGGCGGCAAGTTGCGCGAGCGTGGATCGATCCGCGTAATTCCGCTTTCCGTTCGTTCCCCTTAAAGCGATTAAGATGGTTCCGTTGAACGCGTAACGATAACCCGCGGGGGAACGATCCTGGAGATAATTAAAAAAGTAACGAGCGAGTCGAAACGAAGCAACAACTCCGCCCGATAATCGGAAATAACGATGCCGATCGATCCTTCCTTTCTTCCACAATTTTTATTAATCGTATACGTACACACACGGCTCGGGTGATTAACGCGGATCCTCTTTTTTTCCCTATACCTACGCACCCTCGCGTGTCACGAGCACTTAACTCGCTCCGTCTCGAACGAGATTAATCTTGCCGGAGGGGTGGAAGGGGGCGGCCGTCGAGAAACTCGCTCCTTCCGCCCGGTCCAATCACGTCCCGCTTTTTCTTCGGAATAAGCTGCTTCCTGAATTCCAAACGCCTGACCCCGAACAATGACACGCCCGTCCTCTACGTGTCCTACGCGTAAATTTCTCGAGAATCGTTTTGAAGAATCGGGGAAAAGGTATTGATTCGATCTCGTGTGCTTATTTTCGAGATGTTCGTTCGTTGGTTTTCAAACGCGCTTATTCGCGATATCTCGTTACGAAGGCAAGGAAAGTGGAAAGTATTTTCGCTCGTTGTCGAGGAAATTTTTCGAACGAAATCTTCTTCGAAACGTAATTACGATTCGCTTTTCATGCGCTCCCAGTTTTCGCCCTCTATCCATCAATAACGTCGTGTCGTTCGGATTAATTAATATAGATGGACGCGGGCGAAATGTTTTTTCCAAACTTTGAAATTAGAAAACTATTCGTATCGATCGAGTTGTAAAAATTGTCGAAATATCGCGGATTAATAATATCGTGGATTATTGGTCTCGATTCGAAGGTAATATGGCGGGGGTTGTCTGCGGGCAACAATAAGGCGCCAACATCTGCGTTCCCATTGATCGGAAAGTTTTGCGAGGCAAGTTTGCCGATTTTCGGTGTCGTTTCCTCTCGAAAAGTTGCGAGTTCGTTAGAAAGTTTACCATTACCCGAGCGAGAATTTTTCGCCCAGATCGAAACGACGCGAGAGAGACAGCGACGACGTTCGCTTCGAATAATTCGTCTCGTTGATTGAAATACGTGATCATGTATTGTACATACACACGGATAGATACACAACATATACATATACGTACAAGAAAGATATATACAATCGGCCGCCCATTTAACGACGATTAAATAAGTCTGTCGTGGTCATTTTGCCCCGTCATTTCGGATTCCTTCCTCGAGCCGAGGCCGCTCTTGTTCTTCCTTCGAGGGGGCGTGGGGACGAGGTCCGAAAAATCCTCCTCCGTGCTCTTGTTGGACCTGTTCGGTTTCCTTGGCGGATCGGTGGAGAAGTTGTCCTCGCGCGGGGATACGGGGGGTCTATCCGCGATCGACTCTTCCCACGAGCAGAACGACACCTTTCGTCCCGTCTTCCTCTCGTCCGTCGTCCATTGCTTCTTTTCATCCCCCTTCTTCCTCGCCTCGTCCGTTCTCAACTCCTCGATCACGGGCTCCAATATCTTGGGGATCGGCTCCTCCTTGCCAGGTCTGTTCCCTCCCTCGAGCGAGTCCTCCTTCTCCAACATGTCGGAGAGAGCGGCCTCGAGCTCGGTGAGGCTGGGCGTCATGGAGCTCACGTTGCTCTCCTCCGCTGCCTCCTCCTTGAGGATCTTGAACAGGGTGGAATGATCGGGATCGAGGACCGTGGGTTTGATCTTGGGCTCGGGGCTGGGCGGCGGTGTGCCGCCGCTCCTTCCGTTCCAATCGTCCACGAGGCACTTTTTCATATTATTGTTGCGCGCGTCCTTGGCCAGTTTCTCGTCGAAGAAGTCGTCATCCGGTTCCTCCAGCATCTCGCGCGGCAACGACTCCTCGGAGATGGTTCTGATCAGAGCTGTGGAGCGTAACTCCTCCTCCTCCTCCTCCTCCTCCTCCTCCTCGGTCGTGATCCTCGATTCGGCCCCTTCGATCGTATCTGGAGAGAAACGCGGTTTAACTAGTCACGTAGTAAGTCAGTTGAATAGTTGGATCATGGGAGCAATAACGATCCTCCCTTGTTTCGGGGAGGATCTTTGGTCAAAGGAAACTTTGCGCTTCCAACTTGGCTGGTTTCGCCCCTATCTTCTTACGAATTTACGTCGACGTAAGGAACGAGTTAAACTTTTAAGAAATAAATAAATATATTATCGAGGATCGAAGGATTTCGATCGATCTTTTTCGTTAAGTGGGAACGAAACACGGGAAGAGAGAAAGGATTATCGACTCGATAATGCTGTGTCCTTTTTTTTCCTCTTTCGAAGCGAGTACCGACGAAAACACTGTTCGTTCTCGTCTCTATTTATACCTAAAACGGAACGGTGTTTCGCCTCGTCCAAGAAGAACGGCTCTTGGAAGGGTGACGACTCGCCGATAATTTTGTTGCAACAGTTTGCCGTGACAGGTGGTGGATCGTCGTAGCGTCTCGAGTGAGATCTGGAAAAAGAGGCGAGCGTTGTTATTTCTCTCTGACTTGCAGACTTTGAATCGTGACTTTCGTCCAACTCGATCGTGTGTAATCGTAGCAGTAGAGAACGAAGAAGACCTTTACATTTGCATTCGATTCGAAGCAGTAAGTCGTAAATTCCACTTACGTAAAGAGTGGAGTAGGTATGGTGGTAATAACGGAAGGAGCGGAAGCGGCGTATGTACGTAGAAACGCAATAAGTTTTGCAAAGTGGCGAGAGAAGATTATACAATGGTCAGAACGCTAAGACCACGGGATATGGACTTACAACGGTCGGCATCTGGCCACCTCGATTAAACCCACTTAATCCCCGGAACAAGGACCATAGATAATCTCTCTACCGACCTATTTGGATCGAGCTGTTCCGCTCGGTCGACCAGCGGGGATGCCGTTTTTCCGAACGCTTCGGGCTTCTCCAACCGGACCGGAGAAACGTGGCCTCCGTTTATCGAGGGGGATCTCCTCCTTTCGTCTTCTCGAGAACCGATCGAGAAATGGGCCGCGTCCGCCTCCTCGTCCCAAGTTTTATCCTGCGAATCGTGCCTTTTCTCGTATCATCGTCGTATTACTCGTCCATCTTTTCTCTTTTCGAATTTGAGAGAGAGAGAGAGAGTTACCTGAATTTCCGAGTCGTATCCGACGTCGCTCAATTCCCAATGCTCCGCTTTGCTCGAGTCGTACTTCACGTACTCGTACTCTTTCACCATTCCGTTCGCTCTGCCCAACTTCTCTATAACCTGATACGGGGATAGGTTATCGGACCTTGGAACGTAATCCTCCAATCGCACGCTCGTTTTCTGCGGAACAAACTCGTGGTTGGCGTGGAAGAGTCGGTGAAAAGAGAGGGAGAAATCGTTGTCCTCGTACCTCGGAAAATGGGGAGAGGAAGGATTCGGCGGGGAGCGAGACGGTGCTGCTCCTGACGGGCCTCCTCGGACGAGTGGTGTTCTCGATCTCGTGGTCCCTCGATCGATGCCTAGCCGTGTCCAACTCGTCGTAATTCGGCAGGCTGACGGTGCTCGAGTGTTTGTGCCTCGCGTTACCGCTCCACTTCTCCTCCTCCTCCTCCGCCTCCGTTCGCTTCTCCCCTTGCCTCCATTTCCTCTTCTCCTCGCGCTTCGGGGTGGAGGAATCCCTGCTCGTGCGGCTGTTGGCGAATCTTTCGTACTCGTCGCTTTCCCGACACCACCTTCTCCCGGAAACCACGTCGCTCGATATTATTCTTCCGGTCCCGTTAACCTGCAATCAAACCCGAAATCCTTTTTTTTCTCGTCTTTTTTCCGACGAACTAATTCGATAACATTTATGAATTTACGATTCGTAGATTCATCTGGAATACCGGTTTGCTTCGATCGAGTTCGCGAAACGGGGAAGGAAAGCGGAAAAAAATTGATACTCGCCTTGTGCTGATAAATCTCCTTAACGCTCCTTTTACCGTCGCTCTCGTACGTCGGCCTCGTCTTCTCTTCCGCCTCCTGCTCGTCCCCGCTGCTTTTCGGCGACCTCACCGACGAGTATAACGGTTCGTTGCCGGCCTCCTCCCGGTTGGACGGGTTCTCGGCGCTCACCTCGTCCGGTTTAGGCGGCAAAGGCCTGCCCTTGTTCCGCTTTCGACGTCTCGGCGGTGGAATCGGTGTCGCGTCCCTCAGATTCGAGCCTGATCCACAGAAATTAGATCGGCCAACTTTTTTTGCCAAAAAGTAAAGTTTCCGGCCGTAATTCTCTCTCTCTCTCTCTCTCTCTCTCTCTCT